TGCAGGTAAGCGATTATGGTTGTTAGAGCTTTGACGTGTCCAGAGGGACGTAATAGGTACATGCAGAAGCATCAACAGCAGCAAAAAATGGCTCCAGCTTTTACCGGTTGGGCACACGAGAAACACCATCCTCATCCTATACACATAAAGCTAGTCGTCTGTTCGTCTGTCTGTCTGTCTTGATACTCCTGTTTTGTCCATAACGTATGAAACAGGTTCAAATCTGATGTTCCCAAGGGATGGAGAGGGTACGGGGTCGATGTAACTGGGCAGACCGTAAGTATAGTGGACAAAACCCGGGCTAGATTCCGTAAGAATGCAATCCAAACGAACGTCATCGACCCTGTGCGTACGATCAAACTGGAAACCTGGCCTATGATTGATTCATGCAGTCAAGGCGTTCGATCTCGAGAGATTATTGCAAACGTGGAAAGCCTTTCGGTGATGAATGAAGAGTGAGAGATGGCCCACAGTGGGACTTGAATATGTTCGTTTTCGCCCTTTTGAACGGATCACTCGCTCGTCAACTGCTATAAGGAACGTCCACTGGAATACTTCCCAATTTTCGACTCCAGTCAGTGTCCCCGGGGCAGGGCCAGACTCCTATCGTGCACGAAATTTTGCCCAAAGGAAAATGCACAGGACTGGGATCAAGGGAAGGAGGGGTGGCCCAGGGACGATCAGAATCAAATTTGCATTCGATCCTACAGTAGTAGACTATGCGCTGCTGCAACACTGGAAAAGGAACCTCTTACCTTTCTGGGTACCCGAAGAGTTTCTTAGGTGGTACTTTGATGTGAGGGGGAATCATCCTCTTTCCCTCTTCCCTGTTGCGCTCCTTGAATGGCATTTCCTTGAGAGCAGCTACCGCCTTCACCGGCATTGTTTTCGAAGTCATCTCCGTCCTGCGGGGAACGTTTTCCGCCTCGCTGAGCTTCATGTCCAGCTCTCGAAGAGGTAACACTGTTCTGATCAGAGGTGGCTTGGACACAATCTCCGGCTGATTGGGACGTGGGCCCTCTTCGGCTGTCCCTGATGAAGGTGCCATAACCGGCACGTTTGGTGTTTGGCACATTGGCTCTTTTGCATCACTGTCCATATTGTAAGGAGTATTCTGCACTTCGCACGTCACCATTCCCAGCATGACTGGTCCGGCTGATTCCATAAAAGAGGGGACGATCTCCATCCTGAATGCAAGGCACTGTTAATTCTCAGAACGACGACCCTGCGACAATGCACTCTGAGACAAAGCTCAATTCCACACTTGCTCTCTAGCTTGCTTGCAGCCTGGACTTCGAAAGGAAGAGATCATACTCGAGCTCTGCCTTGGGTGACTTGCGAATTCTCGCCTGCAAAAAGATTGCTCACTTTGCACGGCATTCGCTCCCAGTCTCGAGCTTGACGGACTGCGCTGCACTCATGAAACTAAATCAATCACTCGAAACACAACATAACGCCCTGTACCCCGGGCTACGTAACTACAAGCTAGCTGCTTTGCTCTGCTCTGAGGAGATTCAATTCTGCTGAACTGGCCCGAGCACAACACAGTGAATAGAAGATGAGGCCCCACTGGGTCTTGAGCACCAACAGGAGGAAGTCCAGCTGCGGAATGTGTATTGCGCATCACTCAATGCAGGCACGGGGGATGTGGAGAGGGAAGGACACTGGAGAAGAGAAGAGCAGAGGAGAGATCCGATCAGAAGTGAACGTTGAAACTCGTCGTTCCAACGGTAAAGAATCTGTCCTTTCTCCAGGAGCAGGACAGATTCTTTACCTTCGACTTGCTCCTCTTGCTCATGACAATCATTTGCATTTCTTGGTTCGTTGGTTCGCTGGATTGCTAAGGTTTACCAGGTTCTGAGTCCTGACCGATCCAACCTGGGTTCAGCTGACGGCAACAAACTGCCGTCCATCTCAGCTGAGGCTCACGGGTCATACCTCCAGCACGCGTTCTCTGGAATCCTTCGTCCTCTCTACTCCTCCCCTCCCGTTCCCTTAATCCTTGCCTTTGCGTCTGCCCTCCTCAGGCTCAGAGTTGACAGTTCGCGACTGTGAAGTTCAAGAGACCGTTTCCTCTCTCGTCCACCCTCTCGCTCACTTTGTCCTGTTCTTGCTTCAACGGTCATTACATTCATATTGTACAGAGAATTCCATCCAAGTCATGGTGTCAGAACCTCGGGGGTATACTACGGCATCCATCCAGTCAGCCGTGGAGACCATTCACGGCGTTATCTGCTCGGAACAACTTTTAATATCTCGAGGTAGCATGTCAATAAAGTAATATAACGACTGCAGTGAGTGGTGCAATGATTTTATATTTCCTTCACTTGCCCTTGTTCATGTCGGTAATGATCGATTCCAAGTTCAGAAATCACCTGCGGCATAACATACAATACCTGCATCATCAGTTCTTCGACCTTTCAAACTTGAATGCATAAATTTTTTTGGAAAGGTCTGGAAAAAGCCACATTTGAAAGAAAGATTGTGTAATAAAATAACTTCCTAAACAGGACAAAGGTGTGACCTCATTATTCAGTTAAGGCAATATACACATCAGTTCACGATGGATATTCTCACGAATTTTGAAGCAGTTATTGCTCATTGTTTCAATGTAATAACTTCTCCCACATCTCTTCTCCAGCTTACAAGTTAAACTAGAAATAAACTTTGAAGAAAATACAAAATGCTAACATTGAATTGTGTTTTTGTTATGTTTTTGTGGATTTCTGATAACTATGTTCTATGTTACATTAATTCAAGATTTAACATTTTTTGGCTAACAGTGATTGACGGTTGAAAACTTTTGATAAATTCCATTACAAATAAACTATTAGTAAAAATGAATGTAAATATCTGTAATATTTTAATTTCACCTTCAAAAAGTTCTCAGAATAAATAGATATAAAATATGTATGCGGTCATCATTCTATAAATTGTAAAACATATTTTACAATTTAGCATCAATATGTTTGGTCAAAATTATTAAAAAATGCATTAATGTATATAATATTAAGTCAAAAATTTACCTTTAAAACTTAATTATTATATTAAACTTTAAAATATTATAAATTATATTAAAATTAAAACATCATCAAGAAACAGTAATCAATGTAATGCTATATTGCTATCTTATTTCTTAACAAATATACAACATATATTTCAACATCCCTCCTCAATATCATTTTTAATTTAAATTTAAATGATTTATTCATATAATTTCTCCTATTTTATATGATGAATATTATTATAAAAAATATTGAATATTTTTTTACTTTCACATATGAAAAAAAATGATGTTTTTATCTGTAAACAATTATTCATAGAAATTGATTTTGCATATTTACATATTATCACAAATGAAAAACATATAAAAATTAACCAAATGAATAGGAACAATGTTCTCATCAAAGGAAGGTTTTTTATTTTTTATAAGAATTAATAAATAAAAATATTAAATAAAAATTTGATTTTTTATAATCATTTTTACTCAAAATTTTTATTTTTATTAAAAAATATTTTATTTCATATTATATTATCATCTGATTAATATATTAATTAACATAAACAAGAAATGTATCTTTAAATAATAACTTATTTTTTAATTAGTTTTTCTTTCAATTGTTAGTTGACATCATCATATAAATAATGATGATAAAAAAATATTATATTTCTGTATAATTTTAATTTTAATTTTTTCCTAAATTATCATGATACCATGAAAAATTATATATATATATATATATATATATATATTTATATCTCAATGTATTATCACAATTCTTACTACCTTAATGTCTGCATCTTATAAAATTATCCATTCAAAATTTGATGTAGATGTCACTAGATTAAATAAATATTTATAAGAAATATTTAAAAACTTAACATTTTATTTGAATATGTTCATGTTTAAAACATGATTTTGCAAATCATGAATATTTTATCAGTCAATACAAATAAATGGAATTTTTAAAGAATTATAATTTTAATAACTCAATATCTCTATATATAGTTCTTTATTTATATTTATATAAAATCAGAAAAAAAAACTATTTATTTATTTTAATCAATATTTTTATATACTAATAAAATCTGCATATTAAAATAAATATTTGATACTAATATATCAAATATTTATTCATTCAATTAATATGGAAAGTAATAAATTATCAACATTTAATATTTAATAAATTTGATTGATAATAGTTGTAAATCATACAACATCTTACATATGCATTTTTATAATTTGATATAAATTAATATATATTCATTCAATACATCTTTCATTATTGTAGAAAAAATATTTCATAACATTTTTATTCAATTTTTATTTTTAATAAATAAATATTAAGTGTCATAATTGAAATATTTAAAAAAATTCATGAATACTTTTTAAGATTTAAAACTCTATTTTATTGAAATTTTATAAAATAGTCTAAAAATTTTAAAATATCATAAAAATATATCAAATCATTATTTAAATATATGTAACAGTAATTTGATATTAAAAATTATCATTTTAAATTATATAATTAAAAACATTTTCACATCATTTTTTGTTATTTTTATTAAATACTTCAAATTACACATGATAAAATCATTTACAATATCACATTTTTATTTTTATTAAAATATCTTAAATGGTTGTTGACCAGATCTCGGACTTGACGGGGCCTGCACAAGCGGTGGAGCATGTGGTTTAATTCGATTCAACGCGCAAAACCTTAGCAGCCCTTGAATTTTTTTTTAATAAATTTTTTTAAAAATAATTTTGGTTATTTTAAATAATTTAAATGTTTTTTTGTTTCAAAAAATGAAAATAAAAAATATTATCAAAAAATTTATATGAAGTTTTTACTAATAAAACATAGTTTCAGGTATTTTAGGTGTTGAACACCGGCTCTTATAATCTCCTTGAAGTCCCTAATGATAATTTGTAAGGTTAGCAAAATCACTAGTAAGATGCAAAAGAAGACAATGATCTTCAATCAGAATATGATGGTAGGGATCGATTTCGGGGCTCGAACCCGCAACTTCCGTCTTGACAGGGCGGTACTCTAACCAATTGAACTACAATCCCATTATATAAATGCATTTTTTTTTATATTCTCAGCATTATAATCTCTAATAAAGAAAATAGCTCCATGAGCAAAAGCACATGTTTTAATACCAATTTTTTTTTAATAATTATGTTCATAAATTGGGAATTAATTTTTAATTATTAGAATGGCATATATACAGATTACAAGACAAAATAAGGTATTAGATACTTAATAAATCAATTTGAGTCATGTGTTTTAGCAATCTCTAGAGTGAAAAATCAATAGAGCCATTTCAGATGCACATTGGTTTGATTTTAATAACGATTAACTTATAAAAAATCAAAATTTTCACCTATTATAAACTTTCAAATTTTAATATTATAATTGATATAAAAAATTATTTATGTTTTAAATATTTTTTATTAATTATAAATTTGAATAAATTTTTTTAAAACTTTTTTCATAAATAAATTCAAGTAAAAAAAAACTTAAGTTTTTTACTATGATACATCCTTCCAGAATGTAAGTTTATGACAATGATACATTCGTACAATGCAAGTTTACATTAATGAAGTTATATGCATATTAACATAATTAAATAAAAGATAAACTTCTCAAATTTAAACAAAAGAGTAATTTTGATAATCTGTGTTGTCATGTAGTTATATTGGATTTCAAATACATCAAATTTAAGTTCGTTAGTTAAATTTATTTACATTTTGAATAGAATATATTAATACATATAAAATATATTTATATATATTGAACAATCAAATGTATTTTTTGATATCCTAAAGGACTTTTTACTAGAATTATATATGAAATTTTCTTTTTCATCATTACATAACTCTATTACGATATGTTTGATGGTATTTTTTAAAATAAAAATATATTAATTTTAAATAAATTTCAATAGTATTTATACAAAGATGATAAATCATTAGCTCCTTTAATCTTTTTCATATATATGGTATATTTTTTAACAAGAGTTCCTTTGTTGTTAAAACATGTAATTGAATAATAACATTCATGAATAAATATGCTTGTTGTGTGGCGTAATATACACACTTTACAGAATTTAACATTCGTTTAATTTTATTGATCTCCACTAGCATGACAACAACTGTATTTTAGACTATTTTTAAATTACTTTTTTTAATTATTAGTTCCTTTATATATTAATCTCAAAGTTATGATTTTGAATATATCAACCTCTTGACATCAAAGTTATGTCATGATCAAATTATATATATATGTCTTCTTATGAATTATATTTCACATGAAATTAACCATTCCATCAAAGTATGATCATAAGATTTCATAAAGTGTGGTCTCATATAAAAAAAAACCAGATTATCATTGATGATTTTGCAAAAAAACTTTCCCATTTTTCAATTCATAGAGAAACAAGTAAATTTTTTAATATAATCATTTGTAAAATATCTATTTAATATCCATTTGATGCATTTTGATGACATAATGGGTCTTAAAAATCAGCAATTTGAAAGATTTGCTTCAAATTGATATTTTTTAATTTTTCAAATTTTTAATATTTGATAAAAATACATTTTTTATAATAACATGATAATCTTTAAAAATTCATGAAATCTCAATTTTTTTTATAAAATAATTCTTTATTGTGCCTTTAAAAATTTCTCAAAAATATAAAAAAATAAAAATCATTTATAATAATTAGATGATAAGTTTGAAATTTATTTTTAGATTTTATATGTAGAATATTTGAAAAGTTAAAATAGAAAAAATAAAAGAGCATCAACCGCTTGCTTGTGTCACCCTGTATTGTTAAATTCTTATAGGAACTTGCATTCGCACTCGATACATAATTTCTCGGACTACAAACTCAAGTGCAGAGCATCCACATTGAACCTTAGGCCTCGACACAAAAAAGATTCATGAAATGTCATGCTAGATTCCCTTAGCTAACAAATGGACATAAAGATTTGCATAGAAATATAATGAATTTTAATTATCTTAATTTATTTTTTATTAAATTTTGATCATTTAGCTGATAAAAATATCAAATTCAAAATTTATTTTACATTCCATCTAATTTATTGGCTTAAACATAATGAATCATCAAATTCATCAAAAATAATAATTATTTTGATTTCTAAAATTCAATATTTATATAATATTAAATCATCATCTAACTTCATAAAATAATATAATAATTTTTTTAATATCATTTTATTTTTAAAATTTAGAGTATTAACAATCCAAATTATGATCCATAATTTATTTAGACATTTAGAGTGAAATCAAAGTATGTGCTTCACTTATTTAAAAATGATCCTCACAATATCAAGATGAATTTTTCTGAAAATTTTCATAAACTAATCAAGAAGCTAAGCTCAAATTAAATCTAGTAGCTGTTGCATATATATATAAATTTTAATACATCTATAAATATGCAACTTTATCGTTTTTATCAAGTAGAAATTTCAAAATATACTTCATTCCTCAAGTAAAAACAAAGCAATAGGGAGTGACTTTCAATTAATTGTTCAAGACTAAACTAGCTTATCTAATGCATATTTTTGTTACATCATTCAAGTTTGTTGTACATGAAAAAAATCTCAATGCCAAGCAGAAAATAAATTGTACTCAAATTTGTCATTTTTTACATTTAATGCATCTTGTCATCATCATTTAATGTCATGATCAAATCATCTTTCAACTATATTCGATGAATACACAGGATCACAATCATTGCTCCAAACCTTGAATCCCAATTGAATTGAAAACAAACTTATCCTCTCTTGTCTCATACCCTTGGTGTTTGTTTCATCTCATACAACATTATGTACAACTCACGTATCCAATTAGAATAACTAGAAATTTTATATCCAAGTGGCTGCACCATGTATAGTATTTTTGTCAAATTATCATTTAAAAATATATTTTTCATATTCATATTATGCATTTTTATCTTTTGATGGGAAATGATTGCAACAATCACATAAATTATACACCTGTTGACAACATGGTTGATTATATCCTCCTTTTTTTAATTAAAACTTTTGAATATATTTTTCTCACAAATCTAGCCTTGTATCCAATTACTTTTTTATCTAGTGTACTCTTTATCCCGTCAACTTACTTGTAGTCAATAACACTTTTAATATCATGAAAGAATAGTTAAATTTTTTGTTTATTTTTGATACACTAGTAGAATCTTTTCTTGACTTTTTATTACCAAAAAATATTTTTTACATCTTCATTAAAATGTGATGATTCTATTTCCTCATCATACATAGATGATGTATGGTCAAAAAAGTACTCATGTATCAACCTCTGTATATGATATTTGACATCTTGTTTAAGAGTGATTTTTTTGGAGTCAATTTCATTAGTCATACAAGATGTTTATGCAATAACATCTACTTAATATTATCATGATATGATATTTTTATTAAACATTCATCTTGAAATAAATATAATATGTTCAATTTGTTCCTAACCTACTCTATGCTACTAAGCCTCACATGTTATGATTATTTTCTTATCTTGATTACATTATGTTTGCTTAAAAATTCATCAAATTTGATATTTATTTTTGTCATTAAATCTCAATTACTTGATGAATTTTCATGTTTGCTTCTTCATAAATCTTAAACTTCTTGAATATTGATGATGTTTGTAACTTTTATTGAAAATATTACACATATGTTGATGTAGGTTAATCTTTAATAAAAAATAAAAAATAGTTTATACTCAAGCTATTCCTATATATATTTATCACAAATTTTTTTATCATATATATATATATATATATATATATATATATGATAAAGAATTTATTTTAAATACAAAATCTGATGTAAAAAAAACTACCTTTTTGCTTTTTAAATAAATAAAAAAATTAAACTACAGATGTATGTTATAACAAAAAATTCTTCAACTGATGTATAAAACATTAATTTTAATTCAAAATTTTTGATTTTATTTTTGATTTAGTAAAATTACATTTATATAAAGTTATAACAATATCTACAATTATAAATTAAAAATATGAATAATAAAAAGATTTGATTAATATTTATTATTCTTTTTAATATAAATAAATAAGTTAATATCTCTAAAAATAAAAATCTTTGTTATTGTATAAAAATATTAATATATCACGTAAGATAAAATTATCTTTGCATCTTTTTAATTGAGGAATTTCTATATAGATTCAAATTTTTTAGACCTTTTTGATAGTTAATTTTATATAAAATTATAATTTTTTTACGTACTTTAATGATTTTTTAGAATATCTTAATTAATAACTCTTTACATTTTATAAGAATTCAATCGAGAACTCTTGTTCTATAAATTTGTATTTGAAATTGTTAAAAAATCAATGTTTAAAATACATGACATAAAAGGTGCGAAAATAATTTTATTTAAAATATTTATTAATTTATATATTTAAAATAATTAATTAGTGTATATATCACACTGATATAAACTAGTGAAATATCCATGTTTCTTTAACATATACACTTTTTTAATTTTTTTTTATGAATATAACATGTATAATAGCTTCAACTATGGATAATTTATGTGTTATAATCTCTTGTGGTACATATTAATATTCAAATATTATGCAATACTATGATCATAGATTATCTAACAACATTCCATTTGAGCTTGTCATTACATCAATAGGTATTACTTTTTTTTTGTGGGGGTATATTTAATATTACAATTTTTAACATTGTTGAAACAAAAATTATAGTAATTTCCAACTTAATCAAATATGAGAAACAAATATTTTATGTATGAATGATTTAACATCACATGATATAGTAATGATTATTACATCTCTTATGTGCATTATGGGATCTCGAGTGCCTATCTATGTAAGCACCACTCATGAATCTAAAACATTGTTTATTTGTTATCATGTGATTGAAATCCCATGAAAATATATCAATAAGTATGGATACATTTTTCTTTGGGTATCATTTGACTTTTCCTCTTCCTACTACATGTGCATGTTTTTTTTTATGGCTGTAAGATGTATAAACAC